CAAAGGCCCTCGCTGCAGGAGAGAGGACAAAGCACCAGAAACAGCTGCTCTTACAGAAAATATTTTCTCAAACAGAGAGTCAAGACATGGCTGGATGGCGTTCTTGTGGGCCACATTGAGCAGGAGACAGCTGAAGGTAGGCAGGTTGGTGAGTCAGAGGCAAGGAACAGTCAATTTCCTGATGGCAATTAGGTTTGAGAACCATGAATTCGCTGTCCTATTTAGCTACTGTTCGTTTGCAAACACGCTACTTGGCCTTTGTGTGTCAGTGGAGTCAAATCTGTCGTTATCTTTGGCTTTCATGTTAAATCTCTGTTATTAATTAGGTAAGCTCAGATCTCCACAACCCTACAGGTAGCCACAGTAAGTCTCGGGGTGTTTACTGTCATAGGGAATCTGTGCCCTGTAGAAAGATCAAAGCTTTTGACAATATATCCCATTCGGATTAAGAAAACATAGGGCTTAGATCACTGCAAAGCCCATTGGATGTATTTGGAGGTCTTCTTCATGTTGCATAGATAGACTTACTAAGATACCTATTGTTTTTAATAGCAAAGCTAAATTTAAAATTCAAAACCCATTTTGAGAGCTTTTTATGAAGAACACGCTGTCAATAATTTTCCCTTACATTCACCTTGTGTGCTGCCCTTCTCCCCTTTCAAAGTGGGCTTAGCTAGACCTGAGCTGCCCGTTGGAGATGTTTGCCCCTGTGAACCCTCTTTCACCGAGACTACAGCAGAGAAAAACCATAAAACCACAGAAACTAAAGAAAAAGTTTCTTTATGCACTCAAAAAGCTTAGAATGCTGAATTACAGTGCATTCAGATATTTCTCAACTGAAATTTTACCTTTGAGTTTCCCAGCAGCAGGATCAATCCATAAAACAGAGACCGCCCTTTAAGGACCATGCAGCAGTGTCTGTATGAAAACATAAATTAGGCAAAGCTATTTGACCAGGACATGAATATAGTAGATGTACACATTCAGACTTCGTCTAATTCAACTAAAATCAGCAGATTTGGACTTAAAAGTAATTTGGCCTGTATTATTAAAATACAGAAAAAAAAAAGTATGGTATATTTATAGCCTTAGTCTCTCCAGCTGTGTTGGTTTAGGTTTTATTACATCAGTAATAACAATTTATGTGATACTCTGAATAATGTACTATTAAAAATTCAGTACAGTATATACTGTTACTCATGGGATTTAAACTGTGGGAGCTATATGTATTATTCTCTACTTTGCTATTTCTATAGGAGTGAAGATTACTATAAAAATGGTGAGGTTATATACACCATGTGAATTCCTGCTCTGCTTGAATCCAGGTGAAGAAATAGTTCAGCCCAGACTGCCTTGGGGTAAGAGTCCTAGTCTCAGTCTTGCAATCTAAGGTTACACTGATCACACATTTAAGGATAAACAATAACATCAACATGCTTTTTGATGTCTTAAAAAAAATGCCAATAGATTTACAAGGCATAACGTCCCTTAACAGAATCTGTTTGATGCTTCTACAAAGAATCGGCTCTATCTGTGTGCCTATTGATTTTATTCTTTGCAATAGTTCATCTAATTTTCCTGGCATAGAAGTCGCATCAACGGTTCTGTAGTTCCCATGACCATCCTTGGAGGGCTCTTTTGAAAGACTACTGGATCAGTGGTACATTCCCTGTATTCTATTTTGCTGGTATGAAGATCTGGTTCAGTGAAAAATAACCCTCCAGCACTAGTACTGCAGTATCCGAACATTTGAGTCCCTTGGCAGGAACACCGCACAGCTCCAGTGATAAATTACTGTTTAACATAACCAATTTGTTTTGAAGTCTTTCCTCCCTACAATGCATTTTAGGACAGTTCCTCATGTTCAGCCCACCTAATGTTTGGTTCTTCAGCAAAGCAAATAAATGTTTTAGCTTTTAAGCTGTGGAGTTAGCTGCCTTGAATGCTTCTTCTACACTTTCATTTTCTAAAGCTTTACTTACTCTCTAGCGGGACTCCTGTGGTGATGGAATTTTAAAAAGTTTATATATTACTTCCACAAAAAGATATTTTTGGTCAGCTCGGCTGTGGCTCTGCATTTAATATGACAGAGTTTATGCTCTTTCTATGCTCCTTGCTTATATACACCTTCCCATTTCTGAAGGATGTCCACATTTTCTTCCCACAGACGACACAGCTGTCAATACTTAGGGGTGGCACTGCCAATACCCTTACCGTTATGACTCTGGGAGTAGGGCCCAGGTGAGGGAGCTCAGTAAAAGCCAGTAATCACAGCGTATTTTCTTTCTGTTGTTCAACCAGGTGGTCCATTGCATGTGACTAAAAAGCAGTAACACAGAGCACGGATCACATGGGTTAGCAATTAAGGTCAAAGCTTTCATGGTGTTTATCTTTACATTTAACTTATCTTTCTTGGAATGCTATGTACATATTTGTTAGACTTGGGAAGTGTCTTTAGAACATCTTTCTCATTGTAATAAACTGAAAAATTCAAATTTTCCCTGCTACTTTAAAATGATTCGAAAGTGTAGCAGTCACTTTAAATTGCCAGTTGTTAAAAGCTGGAAGGATTTACCAAGGGCACAATCATCCCCTACGTACTCTGTTCTTCTATACTTTCTTAAACTGTCTGCTTGAATCTGGTTATGGAGCTGAGGAGGACCTTTTTTATAGCTTAGCGTCAATCACAGTTCCTATTAATGGAGTTAAATCATATAATTTCCATAAAGCATTGAGGAAAATAAATACAAAATATATGTATTAGTGTTAGTTCTTCATCCTGTAAAGACAGAAAAAAAGGAAGCCAACATGGTCTGGACAAATGTGTAGGGATTTCTGTCTCTGACACGTTATTGCCATATTTTTAGTTGTAAATAGCGTTAACGCCTTCACATCTGTTACGAGATTTAACAGATGTATCTGCATACTACTTTGTGAGGGAAACCTGGATCTGCATAAGAGAAGAACTAGGATGGACAAACAACTGAAAATTGCTTTTGTAAACGTATGTATTTATTTATCATTTTACTGGAGGACAGGAAGTGGTTTATCTCATTCCTGTTGTAATGAATGGCCTCTAGCATCCCCTCTCAGTTCTACTGTATACACAGTTCTGAAAGACTTCTCTCACAGAGATAATAAACATATACTTTAGCATGCTGTGATAATTAAGGTCCTAAATAATATCTTTGTCTTGCAGTGGTGTAGGGTAAAGGTTTTCAAACTGGTGTACCCATGCTATTTTCAGGGCTTTCCCAGAGGCAGCTCCCAGTTGTCTGTGCAAGCACAGACCTGCGCTACAGGCAGGTCCCGGAGCACTGCTACAAGGGAGCACGCCTGCTGCTGCACCGGGGCTCACCCTGGCTGGTGCAGCACCACTACAGATGCTGGCATCTCATATTCGCCAGCTATGCAGCTTTCCACAGGCTGGCATTTTCTGAATCAGGTAGAGGCAGAGTGGCATTTGAATGCAGAAGCGGCTAAGGGTGAATAAAAGGACAAAGAAAAGTGGGTAAGGATCAAAATTGTGTGGTGGGGGTGAACTGGGTAGTTAAGGAGTGAAGCTGGTGGTGGTAAGGCGACTACAGCTGCAGGGAACACACATCAGGTCCCAGCTTGAGGCAAGGAAGAGCACTGATGAGACAACCGAAGTGGCCCATTTGCCCAGTCCTGTAAATCTCTGTCTTCTTCACAGCAGACAACAGTACTGAGAGACCTAAACATATTTACCACCCAGGTGAAAAAGGTTTAGGGCAGACACAAACCAAGGCACCAAGAATCTACAACATATGCAGAAATAATCTACCAGAACTGATCTAAGGTTTTGGTGCCAAGTCAAACGACAGAAAATACTTGTAAATCAACTAGACAGAATTTAGCCAAGTCAGCATCACATCTGATAAGAGATTAAAAGTGTAGTATTTTTCTGTAGGAGTCTCAATTCTTTGAGATATCCAGCAAGCTCATGTCTTGATACCATGAAAAAAAATAGTATTATAATGCTTCATATCTTCATATTGTACCACCTGCATGCTTTTAAACTAAACATGTTGGAGACATATAGTCACTCAGTGCCTCACTTGCCTATACTGCATTATGGGGAGGCACTGGACCGAAGCAGATTTCATTAAATGTTCCTAATTTATTCTGCCTCGTTGCTCTTTTGTAAACCGGGCGGGTCACTAGAGAGCAAGGCATTTAGTCCAAATAGAGTATTGTGAGTGAATACTCAAATTCAACATACTAGACCAAGATGCGATTCATCATTAGCCACTGAAATCCCTTAGAAGTGACAAGATAGGAGCTTTTATTTACAGGG